GGTGAAGCAGTGAATGGTTGGTCCCCAGCTTTCCAAAGACTTTGCAACTGATTTACCATATCTTGTATTTATGAATATATTTTCCCCTTTCATATCTTAATAAATCCTTGATAAACCTTAAACAGACACAAATGGATTTCTCATTACAATCCTGCTCAAGATTCAGTGTGAGGAAAAATCAACAATACAAACCACTAAAACTGAGTACAGCCAAGCATGATGGTTCATGCCTTTAGTCCCAGCACCCGTGAAGAGGTAGGCAGATCTCTTTGCATTCAAGGAAGGCTGGTCTGTATAAGACCCTGTCTTGCCAGGCGGTGGTGGCACACACCTTTAATCCTAACACTTGGGGGAAAGAGACAGTTGGATGTCTGTGAGTAAGGCCAGCCTGGTCTACAGAGTGAGTTCTAGGACAGCCAGAGCTACATAGTGAGACCCTGTCTCAAAGAAAAAAAAAAAAAAAAAAAGAGGTACTGGACCATATACTGTTGTGGCAAACACCTTTAATTATAGTACTAAAGAGACAAAGGCAGGTGAAATCTCTGAGTTCAAGCACAGCCTCACTTACACATGGAATTCCAAAGCAGCCAAGACTACAGTTAGACCCTATCAAGACTAAAGCTGGGGGTTGGGGGGGGGGGTAGCTGGAGAAATGGCTCAGTGGTTAAGAGCATACTGACTGTTCTTCCAGAGGTACCTAGTTCAATTCCCAGCAACCACATGGTGGCTCACAACTACCTAAAATGAGATCTGATGCTCCACTGGCATGCAGGCAGAAGACTATATACATAATAAATAAAATAAAATTTAAGAAGTAAAAGTGTTCAGGGACCATTAAAAAAAAAAAAAAAAGAATAAAGCTGGATGTAGTAGCCCATGTCTTAAATTTCAACACCAGGGAAGCAGAGGCAGGTGAATCTGAGTTCTAGGCCAGCCTGGTCTACTTCGTGAGCACTTCCTTAACACGCAAAAATCCCCAAACTCTGACCCATAACCAAAATGGTACTTGTTTCCAGTTTCTTGTTTTTCCCAAATGCAGAGTCTACCACAGAGTGCCAGAACAGTCAGAGCTACACAAACTCTGTCATCAAGTCAAAAAAAAAAAAAAGAATACAGGGCCAAAGTATACTATGTAAATTGAATTATATCACCAGGCCTCTTTTTGAAGGGAGAAGAGGCCTTTTAGATTCTTATGTCAGCACTATAGAAGCAAGAGGCAGCCTGGTCTTGTAAAGCAAGTACCAGGACAGCCAGGACTACATAGAGAAACCCTATGGGGGAGGGGGGCATATAAAGAAATAGGTTTATTATTATTATTTTGCTTGTATATATCTGTGGAGGTTGGAGGATAACTGAGGATCAAACAGGTATTTAGCCATCTTGTCAGCCTATTCATTGTTTGGTCTTTTTGAGACAGGATTTCAAATAGCCCAGGCTGGCCTCAAAAATCAAAATCCACTTGCTAAGCTTCTCAAATTATGAATGTGTGCCAGGCTGAATTTTTTTCATGCTGCTCAGTTTTTTTTTTTTTTTTTTTTTTTTTTTTTTGCAATTTCCTGTTGTAAATTCGAATAAATAAAATTATGTGGGTACAAATAATGCTTTCTAGAAGCCAACAAAAAAAGGTGCATGTTTCCAATATTTTATATTTTCATCCCCCACTACTCTCCTGTATCCCTCCGGGTTTATACCTGCCATCACTGCATTAATTTCAATTAAGGAACACAACTTTCTCAGTTCTCTTAAGTGAATTGAGAACTTGGTATCTGCTATTTTCTCTAAGAATCTATCTAAAAGGAATGATTTAAAGACAAAATCCTATTTTAGCCTTTTATATATCTAAACTCAACAGTAAAAAATTTTTCATGTAACCTTAATAACCTTAATGTTAACACTCTCAAGAAAACAAACATTCTGCCTATTATTATCTGTCTGTAATCCCAACAGTCAAGAGCTTAAGGCAGGATTGCTAGAAATCCCAGGTCAGTTTGAGATGTGCATAGGCTACATAGGCAATTTCAGGCCACCTCAGGTTACAGTGTAAAACCTTGTCTAAAAAACACAAAATTCTAAAAATACTTCTTAGGTTCCCTTTCAAAACTATGCAACATTATAAATGGCACATTCATGACTTATGTATTCTGTTTAATCATACCTCTCTAAAAAAGTATAAACTCTAAGAAATGGTATACATGCTAGATGTTTACAAAAAGTATGCTGTTTGCTATGACTTTGAGATGACTCTAAACAAAAGATGCACCAATGAAGGCCAACAGATGTGACAAAATGTTAGTTGCAAAATTTAGGTGTTAGATACATGCATGTTTATTATAATTATTTCAACCTATGTTTGAATTTTTTTTGGTTTTCTCTGCTCTGGAGACCAGGCTGGCCTTGAACTCAGAGATCCCCCTGGCCTTTGCCTCAGGAGTGCTGGGATAAAAGGCGTGCGGCACCAACGCCTGGCTGAATTTTTTAATTACAGAATGAGAAAATACTAAGAAAACTTAAGCACTGTAGTTAGGCAAATACTCTTAAATTTTAAGTACCTTTAAGACAGTGAAATATACACTGACTTATAAAACACATGAATGAATTAATATTTACCAGTGGTCTTCACTCATAAAATGTACTGAGTCACACTGTGTACAAGACACAATAACATGCTTCATATATATTAATCTTCACAACTGCCTTGAAGTAGGCAGTTTTATTCCTATTTTCCACAAGAAGAAACTCAGGTGTGGACAAATTAGATCATTTGCCAAAGGTCACTAGGAAATATTAAGATTCCACTCAAAGCTGGGCGATGGCAGCGCACGCCTTTAATCCCAGCACTTGGGAGGCAGAGGGACCACAGGGAAGTGCAGCCCACTCCATCTCCCATTAGAGGAAGGAAAGGGGGCCCCCAGGCCCAAGCCCAGTCCCAGAGTCCATCAGTGCTTAGGGTTACTGTCACACAAAGCCCTACTCTATGCAGACTAGAACAAGACATACATTTAAAAGAGTATTTAGGCCGGGTGTTGGTGGCACTTGCCTTTAATCCCAGCACTTGGGAGGCAGAGGCAGGAGGATCTCTGTGAGTTCGAGGCCAACCTGGTCTCCAGAGAGAGTGCCAGGATAGGCTCCAAAGCTACACAGAGAAACCCTGTCTTGAAAAAAAAAAAACAAGCTGAAGGCATTAGTACCACCTAGTTCAAGGAAGATTTTGAAAATTGTTAGTATTAACAAGGTAAGTCAACAGTGGTGCTGTAAAAAAAAAAAATCCAAAATACCAAAATAAAAATTCAACAAACTGTCTTTGAAACCTGTTTTTGCTAGGCTGTATGTCAAAAAGAAAACACCCTCATTAGCTCAATTTTCACTAAACAGTTACAAGATAGGGCTCTTCAGTAAAGTAATAGTGATAATTATAGATCTGGGGACATATCTAGACAAAATTGGTAGGTTAACAGGCAAATGGACTAAAAATAATAGAAATTAAAGTTTATAATTTTTCAATTCTCTTGTGAGTTCCAATAAGGTTTAAGCACAAAGTTTTAAGACAAAGCAACAAGTTGTTAAATAAGTTTTGGAGACTATGCACTCCCTAAGCAGAAGGGTGATTTCTTACAACAGAAGATTCCCCACTAGTGAAAAGTACCTACCTACCTTGCTTGAGCAGTTGGAGGCATGTGAAATCTTTCTCAATTCTGGGTTAAGGGAAAGCCAGACTTACCTAGATGACTAGCCAACCTAGTTAAAGCAAACTTTAACAAAATGTTATAAAGTCTAACTGCCAGTCCCTCCCAACCCACCCTACTTCACGAAAGACAGGTAACAACAGCTCACCTGGGGATTGGACTCCGACTCAGAGACCTCTTGCTCAAGAAAGGGCTGCTAGATCGCCTTCGACCATAGGGGCTGGGCGATCTCCCGCTGTAAGAGCCACTCCTTTCATAGCTGGATGACCGTCTCCTGCTATAGGGACTCACGGACCTCTGTCGTCGGCTGTAGGGACTGGGTGACCGTGTGCTGGACTGGTAAGCAGAAGGCTCTTTGTAGGGTGGACTGATTGACTGCCTTCTTGAGGTACCGCCAGGACTCTTCTTGTAGGAGTCATAATTGCTAGAGGTGTGAGACCTCGGGGGGCTAAGGTCATAGTCTTGGCCATAAGAAGCTCCCGAAGGGCTGTCATCTTGCTTGGAGCTGTCAGACCACTTCCTATGGGGACTCCTGGACCTCCGTTTGGGGCTATCTACCGTTTTGTAACTTTTGGGTGTTTCCCTCTTCCGATGGCTTTTGCTGCGGTCCTTGTGTCCAGACTTTAACTCACGTTCCTTGCGTGTCTTCTCCTTGTGGAGTTTGGATGACCTGGATTCCTTGCTGCTGCTTTTGGATATCTGCGCCTTCCCGTAGTCATCGCTCCCCTCCAACGAACGCTTTGAACTTCCCGATATCCGGTCCTTCACAGATCCCGACTTGGAGACTTCCTGGTTTTTCTCCTTTTCCGTCTGTTTAGTTTTTAGCAAGTCTCGGGACCGCCGGTGCTGGTGGTGACGATGTCTGTGCAGGCGGTCGCTCCGGTCCGTCCCGCGACGCTCGTCGCTGTCCCTCCGGTCTAACTTGAAGGCCATGTCATCGGAGAAGGTGTCTGAATCGGAGCTGATGTCATCGTACTCCACCAGAGGTTTGATTACCGTGCCCAAAGACGCCGCCTCGGGGGTCACCAACCCCATGTCTTTGGAGTGCTTGGACTTGTGCCGCTTGTGCTTCGACACCAAGCGGTGACGCTCCCTGCTGTTGGAGCTGCCGCCTCCCGATGACGGCTGCGAAGTTCCACAAGCGCCTCCGCTCCCGTCCTTCTTGCCCCCATGTCTCTCCGAATTGGGCATTCCCTTTGCCCGGGCCTCAGGACGGGGGAAAGTTCCCCGGC